TGATATCTGTACTTACTTTACATGTAGGTAATTCCAAAAAGGCTCGTACAATAAAAAAGAAGGATCAATTATTGATAAACCAATCGTCCCTGGAGAATTCACTAGAAAAGAAAGGAGAAGCTGCAGAAGATGAAGTTTATGAGATGTCTTCAGGGGATGAAGATAGCTCTAAAGGAATGAAAAGTATGAAGCCTTCTCTTTAGTTTTGGATTACATAATTCTTTAAAGTTGCTTTTGCTTTATCAAATTTAATTTGTTTGGTGAAACTCGTGAATGTTGATAGCCTTAACAAGGTATTCGAGTATAGCCATAATTATAGTGGATGTCAAATAGCCTGTGGTCTGGTTTCACGGATCCTTCTGATCTAGAAATAAAAAATGTTTTCTTAATGCAGAGTGGATTATGGAATACCATCAGAGTAGACCTGGACTCAAAGTGCTGCAAGAAAGGATAGATGACTTCATAGCTGCTCATGAGGCACAAGAGGAGCAGGTAGTTTTACTTCTGCGGTGATATTCAATGTTTCTTTTCATCACAGTTAAAGTGGTTTTCTATAGCTGAATAATAGGAGGGCATGTTCAATTTTATATTCCAGATAGGTTAGCTGTTCAATTTTATATTCCAGATAGGTTAGCCATTTTGTTGAAGATGTGACAAATCTGAGTCTTGAACTGCTCTTTCAGCCTGAATACTAAATTTGTCTCATCATTAATGTGTTCTGTGTGAAACTAGCTGAGGAAGTGCATCTGTGTGTGGCTTATAGCTATAAAATATGATATCTAATGTAAAATATGTGCTTGTTTCTTCAATATAAGTTGTCTTATTTTATTTGGCCCATGCAGGCAAGAAGAGAAAGGGAGGCCAAAGCTGCAGAAGGTGGATGGACTGTCGTCGTACACCATAAGGGGAGGAAAAAGACATCTGATGCTGAAAGTGGAACTGTTGTGGGCTCGGTTTCCCAGGCTGCTGTTCTAGATAAGCTGGCAAAAACGAAGAATAAAGATGCAGGCCCAGATTTCTACAGGTTTCAGAAAAGGGAAGCCCACAGAAACGGTATGCTTAAAATTAGTCATAAATTTATTTCTCAGTTCTTGTAACGTGGTGAATGCAGATAATCATTAAATTCAAATTTCAAAATACAATAATGCGAATGTTGTTTGAACCTAGAAAGATTTAAAGAACATAACGCTGAACAAGGAATACGAATCATATGCTTATTAGTTTGGAAAAAAGGGTTCTGACCGGGAACTTGCTTGTTGGTTCTCATTTTGGTATTTGTGGTATTATGTTAAATATTTGCATTTAACAAATGGTATTATTTTGTTGTATCGAGTATTTCTATTTTCTATATAATTTTCCACTTCTCTTTTCTTAATTTGTTGAACTTTATGGAGATTGGATTTTTATTTTTATTTTTATTTTTTTTCAGAGATTATGATGCTGCAGAGCAAATTCGAGCAGGATAAAAAGCGGATACAACAGATGAGAGCTGAAAGGAAATTTCGACCGTATTAGAACCTTTTATCCCAGAACAATATCAAGCGATGAACTGAAATGCTCCAGGGAATTGGATTCTTTTCTCCTTCCAATGCTATGCCGTTTGTTGGATCAACTGGAGATGGACTTGCTCATGTTGGAAACTTGTAATTCCATTTTTCTGTTTCCTCTATAAAGGCATGTTTGACTGAGCGTAAAAGCACAAGTTTTGAGAATTATTTCCTCATTTTAAACTTTATGTCACATGAAAAAGTTTTTTATTTTAAATGAGACTTTTCTCTGAAGGTTCAGACCGAATTTACAGTGTTTTCAGGTCAATTTATGAGCATCGGAGAATATTACACTTTTCTTGAATTTCTCATTAAAAAACTCTACTTTTATTCACTATCATCGGAGAATTGAACATTGCAAAGCTATTAATGTTGGGGGAAGAACAATCATAGAAAATAGCGACATTTATATTTTACTGTTAGAATATTTCTGCATATGATGAAGTAATTGAGGGATTAAGACCTTCTTCCACTAATATGTAAATGTGTTACACGTAATTTTATATTGTTGTTGATAATTCAAAATTTTAATTAATATGATCAAATCAAAACAACTATTTAAATACAATAATGTCACACTTGAAATCAAGGTGCATATTGAAATTTTAACAATTCTTGAGGGGTCTTGGTGCATCTGTTAGTGGGGATTGTGGAGTGCAAGAATGAGTGTGAAGGTGTCCAAACAAAGTCAGTGTGAATTTTCTAAATTATGCTCTTTTCCTCGTACCGAAACTGGTCCCACTAAACGTGTCACCAAGGCTTCATTATCCTCGGCAATTTTCAATGCCTCATAAATGGTAATGTAATTGTATGTGTTGGTGGCTTTAATATTGAATAATGGTATTTGTAGTCGACGACTACAATAGTCGGCTTTAATATTAAATAATGATATTTGTAATCGATGATTACAGTAGTCTCTTCTGTAACATTTTATGCGATAGTTTGTTATTTAACGCAATAATTGCCTTTAATTTTGTTAACTCAACTAACAAGTTAATGTTTTAATAACAATCTGACACGTAAAATAATAACTATTGTCGCTTATTATGAGTAATATTATATTATAAAACAATATATTATATAAAACAAACCATAAATATGTTATAAAAGTAATAATTTAATGTATGATACGAAATCTAACTAGGAGAGTAATTTATTCTTTCATTTTCTATCTTATCGTTTCATTTCCTTCGATTCAAACTGCGTGCCAAACCATAAAATTAATAGTAAAATACTTGAAAAAGCAATATGCTGAGCGCGTGTTCGTTGGTTATGAATCATAGAATTGGACAATAAAAATGTTCTCTAACTAACAAAATGAAAGGGAATATGTTAAGAGTAATGTAGCCACACTGGGGTTGCAATCCTAATCTAGATGGTGCTAATGTGTCATTAATTGATAGCTAAATTAAATAATTCATTTAATTTCATATTTTATTTAACTTATTATCTAGTGTCATATAGATTGGGGAACCCCGGTAGGACTACATGACAATATTATTATTATTATTATTATTGTCAAGATATTAAACATATATTTACTATATCACATTAATTAGGTAAAAGGAAGATGGACCGCGTTCAGCTAAATAGGAGAACACTAGTTAATAATAAAGAAAGATGGTGGAATCTGATATGGAATTCATAAATTTTCAATCACATACTTCATCATTTTTTATCAAAATCTATTAAAAATATAATTTTCCATAGCGAACATGGATTAATATAAAATTGAAATGGAGCGATGGTGGAGGCAAGGGGTTCTTTTGGATTAGAAAGAGAAGCGATTGAGTCTCCCGCCAAACCCATCACTAATCCAATCGTTTTTAATTAATAATACATCATTAACGAAATAATATGTGGGATTCACAAATCTTAACAAATCTCAGGTTCCCCTAATGAATAATAGTAAATAAATATTTGATGTTTTGCTTAATTAAATATACACTAATTATGGTCACCGTGTATGCTATATTTGTGTGCATTTATTTTTATCTATCTCTATTCGTAAAAGCTTTTCGTGATGGTATTAACTTTTCATAAAGGTGCATTTTTTGGAAAGGGTGCATGGTTTGGCCTCAACCATTTCGTCCACACCCTTTCATGGTCTATAAATAGGACCCTTTGGGTGTCCTATTCCTCACAGTTTGATATGCAAAAACGTCTCCCATCCTCTCTTCTAGCCAAAATCAAAATCATTTCATTTATTTTGATTTTCTTTCATTTCATCTTTGGAGTACATAATCCTACGTTTGGTTCGTTGTACTTGTGTTTTGGAGTGCTACAAACACAAGTGTAGCCGTTGTATCTTGGGAGTCGATTGTCGAAATCCGTAGGCACCGTTGTGGGGCAAATTCGACTTAAGGACAAAGAGTCCAATTCTTGCCTCGGCTTTGTCACCATCATTATACTTATTTCGGCATCACTATTCACAAAATTCTTCCAACAGTACATTTATGCTAAGTGGACAGGGTCTGGCCTGTCAGTGTAGCAACTCTCATGTTGGTAATATCGTTGTGATTGATGGAGGTGAAAATCAAGCCTTCCCATGCACGATTCGTTTCGACTGCTTAACTAGTTAGTCGTTGACTCGTTATAATTGTAAGGATATACCTTTTAACCCATTTTTCAGTGGGCTTGTACCCAGAAAACTTTTTGGACAATAAGGCTTTCTAGGGGAGTGGATTCTGAAGTCCAAGTTTGGGCCCATTTCAACCTAAATCTAGCCCAAAAGTCTCGACATCAAATTTAAACCGATTTTTCACTCACCAAGTTGTATGAATCGAATAATTTTTAATAGTTAAATACAATAGAGCTGTGCAGTTTTCGGTGATTTACATGTATTTAGATGTGTTCATTAAACAATTTAAAGAAAATGATTTTGAAGAGATCAATATTATGGATCGAGAAGGAAGGTCACCACATTTTCGCTAGCCTGCTGCTAGCTGACCGCTCGAGCGGCACCTACGTATTTTCAATAGAGAATCATCACTTGTTTGTCGCCCGTCTGGCACTTAAGCGATAGGGTTAACCGACCCATGCCCGTTTTGCATTTTGACGTATTTTTTAGACTCCTATTCATCTACAACTTGACT